TTGCCACTGCATGAGAGAGAGCTCTCGATACTCCTGGGGACATCATGATAGCCACTCCAAAACTCAATGTGCTCGTGATTGTCATGTGGACGACAATATCAGAGTAGACTATTGACTCTCCAGTTGACAGTTTGGAGGGTCCACTTCCATTTCATCTACTCTCGCAGATTCCCAGCCTGGCACTTCTATGCTATACCTTCTCATCTCTTTGGAAATCTATGCAGCCTTGCCAACTAGCTTCAAACATGGTGCAGACATTCCATGTCCCCATGTTTACTTTTGCTTTCATGGAGAGACAGGAAAAATACATCGGCCAACTGGCTCCCCGAAGGCTTTTATCAACCTGCGTCATTTTGTCTCTCCGATTCCAGCGAGGAATAAGTTTGTTTTTATTTATTTATATTTTTGTCTGCTCTTTGGAGTTTCTGTAGCGGTCTGATTTGTTTTATGGGGTAGGGTTACTTGTCGTATGCGCAACTTCCCCTCTTTACCCTGGCTTAGGATCGGCTAGTAACTAGTTAACCAGGCGAGTTTATGTTACTAAGGATACTTCATTTAAAATATTTATGTTGCACTCATCTGATCTATTAACTAAGAAACTTCATCACATGCATGTTCTTTTCAAATGAAACCCTCTTCAGAGGTTCAGTCTGGGTACAGGGAAGATGGAAGAAATTCAGACAAACTAAGAAATAGTATGCAAAAAGTAGCTAAGGTTTCCGGATGTTCCTGCCTCCCAGTGAGTGTTATTCCCGCCGGGATTTGGACTCGGGAACGGACGCTTCCAACGCCAGGGCGCTATCCACTACACCACCGAGCTACTACCCGAACTATACCAAGTTAAAACTACTCACATTTTAAATCGTCCCACAACCAAATGTGTTCACATACTAGCAAATTATATAATGCTTCAACTTTCATAACTGAATTAACTTTACTGGTCAAGAACTTGATTATGATGCGCATATCAGTAAACACAGCACCGAAGATAACCGCACTTTGCAGAGAAATACTACAAGTAATCAACAGAAGTGTCTCACAGTAAGCTAAGGCAAACTGGTGATTTGCATGACATTCCAAATCCGACTCAATCGATTACGATAGATGGGATTTTGAAATGGTTCAGGTATATGATCTTGGTTCCGTTGTGTTCTCTGAGCTGGGTTGTTTAATCATGGAAAGTTCATGGTCCTTCTAGACTACATCATTAGCACTAACTTCAATATTGGAATCAACGTTGAGGCACTACGCTTAGATTTTCCGCTTATTGATTGAAAGAGGTAAATCTTATACAGAAGCTGCAGGAAAATTACATACGGTAGAACATTTAAACCTGACAAGTTACCCATTCCTGATTAATTAATATGAACCGGTCTATTCATCAATCACATGACTGTGTAGAAATCATAAAGTGAAATAAACTACTGCATTAGAGTTAACGATTGAGTAGCATGCTGGCATGTTCCAGGTTTGATCAAGGTCAGTAGTTGCGAAGGTTATATTCCAACTGTCAAATTATGACACATGTACTTTCAATAAATAAAACGTAAGTAAACGTCAGGGATGAACTGATTATACTCGAAATTTCACCGAACCTACTGACACTCGGTAAAATCGTATTTGATGAAAATAAATGAGTAAAACTATGCTTATGACAAATTTATACTCTAGGAAACTCACCGATGAATCGCAAGCGCAATTAGTTTTTGAACGCAAACAGAATAGATACAGATTCATTTCAGATTAAAATGATTCAAAAGAAGTGAGTCTGATAGTTAACTTCAGTGAGAAGGTATACCTTGGAAAAAGGTAATTTTGTTGTTCAATGTGTACATGCACAAACACTGCTTTCCTAAGTCGCTTGATTACCTATCATCTCGCAGTTTAAAGATATTTCGGTTTGTGGAGTTCAATTGATTTCAAGTTGGTATTCATCACGGACTGATATCAGTTAGAGAGTCACTGAAAACCTGGGACCATTGAACAGCCATTTAGTCCTAGAACGGAACTCCTCAGAAGTGAACACCCACGAGTCCACCAAGGATCGAACCCAAGAACTTCAGGTCCTGGGATTAGAATATTGCCGTCGATCCACTGGGTCGGAATTCAATGGTCTACATCTTCCTACTTCTGTCAATTGGTGATATAACGCAAGCTTCATCTTCGAGTTTTATTTCCTACACACTCATCACATTCCGATAAGTGAGAAAAGTGAGTTAGTATGAACTAGCACTTCACCTGAAAAATCGTACAGTATGACTTTTGATCATTGCAGTAGCTACGTAATTAAGCTAGATATCAGTCTCCTAGCGTATTAATCATGTTCCTGTTGAAAGACTGCATTTTACGGGAACCTATGGTATCTTGACACCTGCAGCAGGGACGACGTGACAATAAAGCCAGATAATTAATTAGAAAAGATAAACCTTTTAAGTACCCAGTCAAACTATTCTCAATAAGTTTATGACTGGAGAATATTTGAGGTGAAATAAGACATATTGCTTAACAAACTTGATCCAGTAGAATGCGGCTACACACAAAGGGTGAAGTACACGCTGTTCATTAGTTTAAATAGGTGGTCTTCAGCCATTTAGCATTAGGTCCGAATCCCATCTATTCCATCTACCGAGGTCTGGGCAACCAGCTAGTATTATATGGCCTTACCATAGATGTAGCTGATTTCTTGATGCACAAACTTAAAAGAAATTCCTGAGTTGCAACAGTTATACAGAGGGAGGAGTCACCTACGTCTATTGGTGAAGCATATATGATATCAACCGAAATTGTATCACGCCGGTTGGAGTACTGAAGTGAATGATTCGGTTTCAAAATTTCACGCAATTATAATTGCTAGATTTCTTATTCCAGGGTTCGTTAAATCCATCTTCCTTAAGTTTAATATGATGAGAAGTGTTTCATTTTATCCCTTAGAGAACACGTTTCGAGTTCCTTTATTCCATTACTGATAATGGATTTAGTTAATGATCAGTCCTGCATTTCTAAACGCAATGAAACCAAATTTAACGTGAGATAGAAAGCATAGAATCATTCAAAACGGTCAGCTCATTTTCATATCCAGCTTTAATGATGATTTATAAGTGACCGTCATTGGAAGTGAACTATCAGTTGAGCAACCGTTGAATATTAAGAAGGAATACAAAGTTGTGTTCCGCGAAGAAAAAAATGCCAATCGCGGACATTGAGTCAGTGGTTGCATTTACATCATAGATCTGACCGAAATTTGCAACTGGTTTCTAAGCTGCTTTATCTTTTTGGACTAAAACGTGAGGAAGGTTATGCTAAAGTTTCGCCATTTTAGAATACGAGAAGACAGAGATCTAGTACATTGTGATATCCCATAATTATGCAACTGATATAAATACAGAATAGAAAGTAACTTTCGAAATCACAACTGATTAATTCACACAAAAAGTTTTAAGAGGTATGCCTTTTTATCTTTATCATAGCTGACGTTAATAGTTGGTTACCTCTTAGTTGTAGAAGAAATTACATTCACTCGTTGTGTTCCAGACTCCTTAAAGTCTGTTCAAAAGACACAGTCGATGTTGAAATAGTAACTCTTAGAGAAACACTATTGAATAATGGATATCCTAGAAGACTTACTGATAAAAGTTTGAAGAAACGAATTACCCTTCACTCTATTACAGTTCCAAGGACAATTTTATTCATGAAGTTGGAATTCAAACGGGACACCGCAGACGTGTTGAAGAACCGTCTTTCGAAGTATACCAATGGTACCTTTTATTTTGCAAGACTGGGATTGTTCTTCTCGAGCCGTCATCTAATTTGTCAGTGCATGTAGGATGGGTTGCGTCATAATCTGCAGAAAGACTGACCAAATCTTCATAAGAAACTATATACCTCTAAAGCATTTTCAACCAAGTGTTTTGCTTCGAAGTTTCGGGAAATTACACGCAAACCAGCTTGTGAGTACCAGATTAACTGGAGAGTTGAAAAACCAATAGGATTCAAACCTAGGTAGGCTTGAAATAGCCAAGGCTATTGTAAATATATTTAAGCAGTTGTAGTTTGTATATATTTGTCGACGGTGAAGTACACGGATATATATATATATATATATATATATATATATATATATATATATGCGTGGGACCGTCAAGGGTGGACTACGGAAGTTATTGTCAAACCGTCCTCAAATACATAACCCAGGCTAATTCAAGTAGTTACCAAAGTTATAAAAAGTGGTGACTGGGGTAAGGAAAGTAGTGACGGGGATATAAGATGTTGTCGCTTATGTTCACATCTACGTGTATCTACAAATTCACATCCTCCTGTGAGGCTGACTATATTGCACGTTATAAGCGGGTCCTCAAAAAACGCGTTGCGGAACATTACTCGGTTGGGCCTATCAAGGGCGAGCGAAGAAAAACAATTGCATCCATATATGAACATCTAATGGAGTTGGGTGATTCAGCTCTACGAGATTCATCTTTGAAATTAAAATGAAAAACTTCAAAGTTCAACATTCCCACCACTTATGCACAGCTGAAGCACTAGCTGCACATGAGCAAAAACCAGAACCATAATTTCAAAAGGATTTTGTGGAACCGATTTCTCTAACTTGGCCTTAGGAGTATATATCCTCAAAAGTTTGCTAATGAAGCATCAAAGTGATGACAATTTAAGCCTGATGAATATTTTGTATTCGCTAACATGAATAAAATCGTCCACGCTTTCCAACAGGTTTATAGTGGAAATGATAAATAAGTTTCGCACACGTCTTTCACAACACGAATGCCAGCTGTTCTTCTGAAACGAATACGAAAGAGCAATAATCTATGCAGATACCAGGCAGAGTAAGGTCTTTAGAAAGATAACAGCTGATCTTCTTTCAGGAATGTGAAGAAAATAACTTGCAACTTACTGGTTTTTAGGTTAGATACACTCAGCCATCTTTCTTGTCTGGGATCGAATTCAGCTCTCCTACCTAGTACAGCTGACCAAGTTACCACACGGTACGCGATTAATACTTTTTTATTTCTCTAATTTCCAAGCAAAAGGAAATGTAAGTGATAATTATAACAATAACAGCATAAATATGTAAATTGTGCTATTTGGGTATATGGAAGATAATGAAATCGGAGGAAATGACATAAAGTAAGAAAGGATAAATTAGAGATGTGATAAGAAATCACATCATTAGGGTATAATTTCTAGAGATACGGGTGTATTAAGTTACTTGACTTTTTCAGGTACACAGCGAGTTTCCAATTCGTGCGTGTGGAGAAAACGAAATAATATATACTTCCATAAATACGTATATAAAGGGATATAGGAAAGACAAGAAAGTACAGCCGAATTACATACAATGAAATTTAGAGAGAGTAGTTATTCTTTGAAGCAGTTTAGATAGGAATAATAATTATTTCACTCCACAAATAGTTGGACAAACAATATATATATATATAAAGCAGAAATCCCAGTACAAGTGGGGGGAGGGGGGGATTTCTACACTTAAGAGTGGAACACAAATCCGTAGTTATATGAGTCGATAGATGAAAAAAGTATGAGGCCTCGCTACAGCACAGTGTATATCATTTATATGTGTATATCAAATATGTGTGTATAAGTATATACAATCACAAAACGTAAACACAAAAGAATAATGAAACATCAATCAAACTTGAAGATTATCTAAAAGAATACATCCAAAATAAACTAACATACACGTCCAATAGTAAATATATGCTGAAATTGTGTTCAACAACGACTCATCGACATTTCCGTTATCTACGGTATTCTAGTCAACGATGAGGGAAAAAAGATGTCCCCATCATACCGTTTGAGGAAGAAAGCAAAACGCTAGTGTATGTGTGCGTTGTCACAGGAAATGACAAAAAGGAGTAGACTATAAAACTAAGAAATCATTCATAAGAACAGGTACGGGGGATGAGTACACGGAGTAAAATAAAACAATGACAGCAGTACCAGAAAAATAATAACAAAAGAAAGCATCCACAAAGGTAAAGGCGAGGACAAAACAATGCATTTCAACACAATTAAAAATTATTCTCAATATAGATGAAAGACAAGAGTAAATTTGGATAGACAGAATGTAAGTTTTCTCTTCTATTTGTTTCGTTTACATCACTCAAAGTATTCTTACCAAATAACAATGCCAGATGTGCCACAAATTAAAAATGTCTCGTAGCAATAAGAGGTTGAAAAGGATGGCGAAGCGATAGCCGATATCGTATCAGGTCTTATCGTAATTGTTACTCATCTATTGACAATTTGTTGAGGAGTAGAAAGACACAGAAAAGAAATCGGGATATTTATGGTTAACATTGAAACATTTCATACATAATACTTAATCAGATATGGAGGTAATTGGGACAATAATTCTAGGAATGTAGAGAAGTAGAAACTTTTTTTCATTATATGTATATATGCACGTATACAGCAATGCAAGGGATATTTGTAGCACTGAAAGAAAAAAAATGAAACGAAAAAGCTTTTCTCTTGCATTGATACTGTTTTACATATTCATCCATGTACACTGTAACCAAATCAGCATAACAACAGTGATAATCATAATACTTGTCATTATCATTGTTGCAATTATTTACTAAGCGAAGAAATCAGAATAAACATTATTACTAGCTCATGTTGGGTGAAAAGAGGTGAAAACGAAATTCACATTAAACAACCTTGTTTAGATCGAAAGTGAGCAGCTGCATGATAGCATATACTATGTCTATTGAAAAGAGAGAAACAGAGCAGTATTCTTCTGTTACTACTACTACCACCACTACTAGTAATAATAATATTACTATATTATCGTTCCTATATGGACGAATAAAGGTAATCTGATAAAACTAGAATGTCGTACGCATGACGAAGAACAAGAAGGGTAAGGGAAAGGGGATAAACGACAAGACGACGACAACAACGATGAAGGAAGTGGAATGTCTAAATAAAACTGGAACTAATAATCGAACCAAAAGAGAAAAAATGACGTAGTATGAGATTCCAATTGCAATGCAGAATTATTCAAGAATAATGTTACCAAACAATGAATGTTAGAGTGACCTATACTACAGACCAGGAGAAAAGGATATGTTATATAGCATTTCTGTATGTACAACAACAGTGGTAATAAAAGAAATGGAACTGATAAAGGCAACATGATAAAAATACAAAATTCATTGTTCATATGATTAGATTGGTCACTCGCATAATAATTAGGTCGAGCTGGTAACCCACTTATTAATACCGGCGAATATCTAGAAAAGAAAATGGTAAAAGAAAAAAAATTATATTTAGATACATATACAAGTGAGGAGAACGTAAAAACAAAATTTTGAGAGCACAATAGGGTTAGAGCTACAGAAAACAAACACAAGAGGACACAAACAGTATGTTACTGAGTGAAAATGCATTCATATTATTCATTTAAGCGAATATATCTTTCTGTAGACGATGGTGAGTAGTCACGTAACTTGTATAAAGTAAACTACGATGCAATACTACATCTCAATAGGTGTGTATACAAGTTAGTCTACTTACTTTTTACCTTTGTTTATTACTAGTTCCTACAGGAATATGTGAACTCAATTTGAAGCAGTATGGATGGATGTACTACGTGCTGCTACTTAATATCAAGTAAATACGAAGTTAACAATATGTGAGAAAACCACCATGTAGGACATCAAGTAGGAGAACATATGAGCAGTTAACACTGAATAACACTTGTATTATTAAGTACAATGTATAGACTATTAATTATTTTCCTTTACTGCATAAACCACACCAGTGAAGGATGAAGAGAGTTATTGATGAAACAACAGTAAAAAGTAACCTACTATATGGCAAATAATTTTTGGTCATGGAGAAATTATTAATACAGTCACTTAACTAGGAAGTATAGTCGAAGCTGTCATGCTTCATATCATAGTGAAGCATTGATTATCTATCAAAGAGTCAGCACTCATTCTATGCATTAGTTCACTGTTTTAATGTGAAATATATTACTACTGAAGGTCAGTGTATATAGATTTCCGCTTCTCAATTATATGTGACTTTGTAACATTGCTTGCATGTGATGGGATTATCATGTAAGTGATTTAACAGTTACATGTAGAATACTAGGTGAAAGATGCGCTTACAGAGTTATTATCTATTACAACGCATAGTGTTGATTAAAGATTAGGTATATAGGTGACCCATTCAAGACAAGTCATCATTGAATGAAAACCATGACTATTATTCTGGATTCTCCAAGGTGTTAGGAATCACTGAGGGAACATAGTAGGTGAAATGTTCATGATCTGATGAAGTGATACAACGATATGTTTTCTTAAAAATCCCTACCATCTTGTAACCCTCTACTTAGATACTTGTTTGTATTATTACTTCATCAAACAATGTTAGCCACCTCTTGTTATTACTGCACTGCGGTACAGGAGAGTCAATAGTTATGAGATATACAGATATTTCATGGGATTGTTACCACAGAGAATTACAATTTAGTCGCCAATACAAAAAGAGCATCGATGACTATGTAATAAAAGATAACACAATGAACAAATGTCATGGAAAAAGTATATAGATGTTATCCAGAGTAATAGTATTGTAATGATAAAATTGTTTGGCTGGTTTCCATTAAAACGATAGGTTCATATGAAGAAAAAGAACTGGGGTATATATATAACTTTAAGAGTTAAAGGTTTATAGATATATGTGCGCACCAGTTGTTGATTGTGGAATTTGAAAACATCCTTTTGGCATATGGATATCTCCTATCGGGAGTCATAGTAACAGTCAACAATTCTATGGATAAACTTGATGAACTAGACTGACATACTTTGATATTTTTTGCTACCGAACTAGTCTATTCAAAATTCTGAAGCACAGAGTATTAACTTGGCATGGCTAGTTGGAAAATTAAAAAGTGAAAAAAGTGACGAAATTCATGTGACAAAGGTGACTTGTTTAGATCAATTCATTTACAAATGGACTCAAAATTTAGCTGATTCAAGTTTGTTGCTTCTTAATTCTGAATGAACAGATTAACTACAGTGCATAGGACTCTAAAAACTTTGCTAATCAAACCAAATAATCTATACATGTCTCGGAGAAGAAGGTATCTTTGTCATGAATTGAAAAATATTAGTTGTCACATTTAATTCGACTCTTATATAGTAACTGATTCCTGCATATGTGTTCTGGACAACTATCCTTCCGTTTTGAGTTGTTTCAGTTCATTCGTTGGAAATGTAATAACTATAAACCCCTTGTTTACTATTATTTGTATTCGGATTAAGTTCATTTGGAACTGAAAAACAATGAATCTAGTTCCATATTACATTCTTTATTTGATATAGTACATTGATGAAGTATTATTTACTTGACGACGTTTCGAGCAGAACTTATTGTGCATATTTATAGCATATACTCTACCACACTACCCAAGTTTTACTCTCATATGAATCAATTTCGAATAATAAATATAGATCTGCGTATCATTTTCAATTTAACTGATACAAAACACAAGCAATTTCTTTTGTGTTCCGCACAAGAACGGATCGACTAGTGCATTTCACACCAGATGACTTAAGCACAGAAAAGTTGAAGTGTTTGTTGAAATCTTGTTAACCTAGAACGAAAATGGAAAAGACGGCTATTTTGCACAATAAGCAAGAGAATATGCTTATCAACACTAAGTAAACAGGAACCTCATTCACATAGCAATATGGTTGCTAGTTAAAAAACAAAAATAATGGTATGGAGAATTGATAATATATCTGCATGAACAGCAAAAAGTCACATTAGACACCAAATGGTACCAATGTCTGATAGCGAAAGAATGAAATGCACTCTGTAGGATATCGTAAGTGAGCAGTTAGAAACTATTAGAAAAGCGTAAAATACAAAGTAACTAACTCTTAACCAAAAATCAATCGGACGCACTTTTCACGTAAAAGAATACAAACACCATACACTACACTACACCATACAGAAATGAAATTATCGCTTTTTTCAAGCGATAACAGAAAAGAGTATCATGTCTTAACAGCTCACCGAGTATACAAATATACAGTACATATAGGCGCATTCAGGAAACTGGTAAAATATCAGTAGTTTATATTTTCTCTATACATTTTGTATTCAATTATAACAGGCATGGAAGTCAGTTATAAACTATTTACATTACATTATTGTTGAATTCATTTTATTTGTTGATTTGTGTTCAGTTCGAAATCGACGTTTTCTTAAGAATGATTCAGTAAGAATCGGGATGGGAGGCATGCTTTTAGCTGATTTCGTAGACGTACGCGATAAAGAACTTAAACAGTGTTGTTCAACAACAAGACGATTGTATGGTTGATGACTAGAAGACCAACTAGCAATTTTAGAAGCCATTCCATAAGGATCATACAATGGTGAGGAAAGAGTTGAAGACGCATCATTCATAAATCTCTCTAATGAAGCATAGTCAATTTTACCAGTGCGATTAGGTCGTATTTTAACACCATGTAAATTTGATTCATTATTTTTGGATGCTGATGATGCATAGCCATTTTCAACAAGTGAAGTTAGTTGTGAATTACTGGGGTATTCATCTATTCTCTTTATTAAAACGGTATTCGATTCGAACTGATGATCTTCTCTTTGTGAAAAACGGTACTCATTATTAGTGTATGGGGTAGACTCAGTAGGTGAATTATCATGAGCAACATCACTTCTGCTTTGACGAATACGTGACTGATTATCACTTGAACTTGTTGTACTAAAGCTAAACTGACTCGGTGTACGCTCAAGATCAGCTGCCAATATATCGTACAAATGAGGGAAACGTTGATTATTAGTAAAATTACTATTATATGAACATATCAGAACGTTTGATCTATACCCTGACTGTGGTCTAAATCTTCTACCGTGATAATTTCCTGAGATCGATCCTTGACCAATGTCAGACGGCATGGAAAAGAGGGAGGAGTTTGCGGCGGAGGTCCCTCGATTGAGCTCGCCCGCACTACGGTACCTGTTCGGCATTTTGGAGATCGGCAAGCAGTTGGGACAGGATCCCACTTTACTTCTAGTTGCATAAGGCTGTCTCGGTGATGAATTAGAATGCGAGCCTTTTCTGGTGCAGGCACCGGCATAACTTGGCGTTTCGGATGTACGCCGCACATGGTATTTCGTAAAGCTGACATCATCAGACGGTGGACGGTAGAGGAGCGTTTGAGTCGAACTGTTCCAGTCTGATCTGTACAAATGTGAAACATCTTGGGAATAATGTACAATGATTTGACGCAAACATTTGTACATGAAACACCATTCAAGTGCAGAGAAAGGGAACGCAATACAAAATACGGTTAGGTTAGAATGGCACACGCACAAACACACACACCGCGAAAAAACGGCATTAGATGGAGCATAATTTAGTCCAAAAAATGGGAATGAGTAAACAAACCACGTTTAGAAAACAAAAAAATAAACATATCATTACAATGAATTCATGGTGTAGATAAAAATAACATTAAAATATTAAAATTTTACTGTCAGTCTATTTAAGTAGTCAAAAATCCCACTTACGAACACCTTAAAATAAAAGAATATTGTCCTTGAAATTATATCGTCGAACTAGATTGACCAAGGAAGAGATTCAGCTAGATTCTGAGCTTAAGGGTCATTAACCAACAAAGAATACACATAGTTCAAGTTGATGATAACAACCGTTCGATGTTCTTCAAGTTTTCATATTTGCATATCAACAATCTACTATCTCGTTACATGAGTTTATTGATGTAGTGACTAGACAGTTATCAACTGTACCGTAACATGGATATTATGAACCATCATCAATTAAAGTAATTTGAAACTCGACATACAATGTTAGCCAAATAAGGACTAGCTTAGAAGGCTATGGGTGATTAGATATAGACCTGATAATAGTCCATAGATTCAGGCACAGACAGTCTAAGTCATATAGGCTACTTGGTTGGGGTTGCCAGAGAGATAAGAGTCAAAGAAGAGAAACGCTTGTTGATGTAGATCTGAGTGAGCCAACAATGGCATACACAAACTTTTATTTTCAGTCTTGAACATTTTCATTAACATTACTATTTAACTTCTCTCTCGTTACAAACAAAATGCATTCAGATACCTTGTGCACAGCCGTGCAGTAAGCAGTGAGCCACACCTATTGTTTGAGGGCCAGTAATACTACCTGGTTGCCCTGAACTCGATACGTGGGGCGGGGCTCAAACCCGTGACCCACTAGTTGTTAGCCATCTCCCTAAACCACTGAGCCATAGCTCCCTTTCCCCTTTTACACTTTTGTCTACTTCAGTTTCATTCGCTTTATTACCACTTTTTATCTATATGTTAATATGATGTGTTACAACGTAAAGCGATATGCTTCAGTCTCATCTAAATCTGCTTGTCGTTCAGAAGACTAAACAGTTAACAAGAACATAGGTTATGATCTAAGCTTATTTTTCAGAGGTAACTACTGGAAAATATGTTGCTTGATACTTCAAGTCGATTGTCAGAATAATCGACGCTGATAAAGTAGTATATATATATATATATATATATATATATATATATATATATATATATATATCAGAGAATGACCTCAGGACTAGTTACTTAAAGATGTAGTGCCTAAACGAACCACAACTTCAATTTTCCGAATAAAAATGAGGAAATAAAACCTGTCTAAGGATGAGGTTATCATTTACCGTGTTATAATCTATTATGACGGAAAATGTAAGTGGTGTGTGCACAGCGATACATGGAAAGTGAATACAAAGGACAAATCGAAATCTAATAATATTATTTTTTAAATAAAAGAGAATAAAATCTCACCTGTAGGTTTTGCGCTTTCGTAAGTGGTTCCCCTATAAAAACAGTGGAACAATAAACAGAAGGTAAGACATGAGTTATGACAATGTCATATAGAATCTAGACTTATAGGCAAATAAAATGAAAATAACAGAAAGCAACTGAGAAACTATATAAAGATTCATGCATTAGGCTAAAAGTCAATCCTATCGTGTAAAAGTTATTGATCCTATCTAGCTGTTCACGTATTGGTAAACAGGGCACAACTTTATGAAAATTAAGTACCTAAATCAATGGAAAACAGTTTCTAAAATAAATATGAGTAGAAGACAGCTCATTAAAATGAACAAAGAATGAAAAACACCATTTCATGTATGTGATCCAACTTACCAGTGATTTACCAAAACATATTCCATTCAAAGAGTAGAGAGCACTTTTTTGGTAGGCGAAGAATGTAATGTGTAAATATTACTCATAATCTGAACAACACGGGTCTGAATATTGAGTGTATGACGTTTGAAAGGTAGTCACTAAGTAATTATATTGTTCACCGTCATTTACTCACTGTACAGCAATTACAGTTAGTACTCTAATCTGAACATTTTGTTTTTTAAATTATTTTGCAACAGTGAACAAATAACAAACGATCAATAAGATATTATAGACTAAGTACTCAACTTACTTTTCACCTAAATCAACAACTTCTACACGCGGGAAGTAGATTTCCAAAATGCCACGGGTTCCGAAAAGAGGACAAAAATAGGAATAGAATAAAAAGATAAATATCAAGAACTGATGCAAGCTGTGTACTAAGCGAAATAATACTTTTAACCAATTAAAAATGAAGATATAAAAAACTGAAGATAACTTGAATGGACAGTGATTAAAGTAGTAGTAGGTTAAAACCAATTTATTTTATATGTGCATTCTTAGTCATTCGATAAAGGGAATGTGATAAAGCTGACTTTCATGTTCTACAGACAATCAATAAAACTCATTGCATAAAATTGTATTACAGACTCATTTTTAATCTCAAGAGGCTGCAATAGAGTGGTTCGTGGTAGAGATCAAAATGGAACACATCAGAGCAGACATTTGAAACATCTTCACTAAATTTCCTTTGTTTGCCCTCTCGCTCTTCATACACTCTGATCTTCTCTGATATGTTTTTTCTATTTACTTCTTTTCGTGATGTTATGAGGTGTAACAAAACGAACTGGTGCAATTTTCTGCAATATTCTATGTTGATTTGTTTACCTTCTGATTTACAATAGAGGACGATTAGAGTTTGAAAGATCTGAATTACTGAAAGATTCGAACCAGAGACTGCAAATTATCGTTATGGATAGAACTGTACTATCTAACCTAATAATTACAATGAAATCAAAATTCTACTGGAGATTTCGAGTTGGTGCAACTCACTGGAAAAAGGAACAGTCTACATCTTTTCACTTCAAACCAGTTATCAGGCAACATTTTAAAAGTAACATCGTAGGCATTTTTACATTGTTGTTCAGAATACTGTATTGCGTTAGGACTATGCCACCTGCGAATGAAACCAACGACGAATAAAAAGATCACAGGTAGTCTTCCCTGAAACTCGTCTTACTAACATCTGATCCCATGTTAGAATCGTTTATTCGACACAGCACACACTAATGTTGATCAAATGATGTTTTGAGTACAGTTTATTGCTCATAATCATCTCAAAGTCAGTTAACTTCTACCTTTATCAACGAAGTCTTCTGAATAAGTAAAAGTGTTTACTATCACTAATAACTGCGACATTCTGGACTCCTTCTGCTTTGAGTTAATTATGATGGAAACAAGGGACTAAATTAAGAGAATTTCATTCCATGGAGAATGCAGTGTAAAGACATTCTTCATCGAAAATACAACAGGAGTCAAAACCGAAGCTAGTTCCATACGTAAGGGCCCTTTAACCTACAGAAGAAAGTATACCATACTGACAAAATTATCATCATTTTTAATGCAGCTTCCGAAGTTTGGTTAGAATTGTTGATGACAGTATTGCTGATTACTACTCTATGACTACCAGTTATTATAGCTAAAAGGATACTCGGTTGGCCTAACTGGTAACGACTTTTCATTGGAACTTCCGGAATCACCAAAGAGGACTAGTATAATTCAATTTGGAGGTTTTTAGGGATTTATTCATTGATTTCAGGTTGATACTCGTCATAAACTGATATCAGTTCCAGTAGCATTGGGAATCTAGGAGCACTGGGCAGCTGTTTCGTACTAGTATGGGACTCCTCAGGAGTGCAGATCCACGACTCCACCAGGGACTAAACCCAGGACCTTTAGGTTCCACTGTCAGCATGCTACCATTGAGTCACTGGATCGAGATCCAATACTCTACATCTTCCTACTTCTATCAATACACGACATAGTAGCATGATTTCTACCCAATGCAATAATGGAATAACTGTCCTTATGTTCGACTTGCTTGGCCTCACCTGTCAACTGACGTCAGTCCATGATGAGTACTGACCTTAAATCAATAAATAAATCCCCCCCACAAACTTCCGAAATGAGAAGTGATTCCCTAAGATTCAATGAGAAGTCGTGATCAATGGGGCCAACCAAGTCAAACATAAGGACGGTTATTGAGTAAGAGAATACTACCATGTAAGCAATCTCTTTAAGATCGAGAACATATGCAATTACAACGTAATCATCTAATTACTGTTAAAAATTACCAGTCTAATTACCTAGTCAACAATACGAGATATAGTAAATAACCAAGATGGGGGTAGTTCAATAGGCTGCCAACACAGAACATTACACATAGAAGTTATCTGGAATTTCTGCTACGATAGAAATAAGTGGGTTGAAAGTTTGAAACCGACTGCCTTTATGTATGCTACTTTTCATCTTTGGCTTCATATTAAGCTTATATTTTACGTAGCGCATTTCTAGAGAAACATGTTACATCAAATTAGCGCATAAAAATAATAATAGTCAAAACAAAAAGCTCATAATAAAAATCCAAACAAAAATGTTAGCCAGAAGAATGTATGAAATTCACACTGAACTCCATCCATAAAACACAACATGAATAAGAAAAACTTAAAATCATACCGTCTATAGATTTGATAGCAGACATCGGACGAATGGAACGTTTTGAGGTGGCTTGTTTTAATGCTATAAAAGAAGAACAAATGCGTGAAAATATTTGGCATTGAAAGAACAATAGATATAATACTTCTTTAGAAAAAAAGTATGCGACAAAACACAGTTTTCTTGTGTAAACAATTGCAACAAAAGATAAGATATAAAAAAGATGCTTTACACTACACTACAGTAAAGGTTTTGGTGACTATGAGGCTGACAGACAGATACAGAACTGTAAGAAAAACCACGATGAGTTGTGAATACAATACATACATAAGTTATAACAAGTACAACATACTACGAGGAGAAAAATATCTACACACAAATATTCAGCTAATCACCAAACTATAAGAGTGAACATTTTACAATAATGAAATGACTTGGTATTGTTATATTCCACTCACATATGTTCAAGAGATTGTAAAAACAACACTACACTGAAGGAACGGCTGATCTCGAGAAGTAACTGAGAGACAGAACTGTCATTGTGCTCGCTAGCACATTGTGTCTCCATACACGGAACTAAGAAATCGTTCAACCAGCCGATGTACGGTAGAAAACCCCATATAAACCAATGAACTACTATTACTACACAGAGAAGCTACATGATACCAAAGATAGGCAATAAAACACTCATGTTCAAAAAGTGAGACAATATAGATTAAATGCAACCACTTCGTCACATATATCTGAATCATTATGGTTAATGTATGATAATAATTTCGTTATTTGCCGACCACTATTTAAACAAGACAAAATTCATCACCACCTCTTCAAAGCTCCTAAATACGTGCATGTGCTCCAATGGTATAGGTGATTCGATACCATAAGTTCCTCTGTTTCGCTTCCAAAGATACTTCACACGTCACCGTTAACAGAAAGGTTGTTGTATCTCACGCATCACAAGTGTTGGAAGACAAAATAACCAACAACCTCTAATCATGACCATATTTTACCATCGTATGGCTTGTATGACACCGTTGGAACGAAACAAACTCAGTAACATTGTGCACGTTCATGCAGGAGACAGTGAGCCATACCTATTGTGTGAGGGCTAATGATACTACCTAGCTAGAGAGGGTTTGAATGCGTGACGCAATGATTGACAGGAATCTCCCTAAACCACTAATTCATGGCTTCACTATGACGCCGTTTATCGAAAATAGAGTCAATTACCTTCCTAATAAAAGCTGTTCACCGTGAAATTCATTGACAAATAACAGTGAGATGAAATTACCACGAAACTTTAACGACGGTTTGGAATGAAGTCATATTTGTTTCCAAGACCACACTTCATGGTGGATGGTCACGTGAAACTTTATGATGGGCAAACGTAGGGACCACATTAAAAAGGATAAATATGACTTTTAAGAGCTCACACCTCAGGTTTGCAGAAAGATATATGCATGACCGACGAATCCTTTATAAATTTAAGCTCAGTTTCCTTCCTTCCTTTCTTCCTTAGCAGCGACCAAAAGGTGAAGCTGCATACTTATCTGGAGTTGACTATGTGTATAAGATTCGGGATGACCCACATCTAAAATCAAATTTCAGTCAACTACGACATCGAATCGGTACTACTATTTCCGAAGATGGTAGCAAATAGGGTATTGTGGTTACGCTTAATATTGTCACAAAATATCTAGTTTTAATCTGATGCAGAGAAACAAGTTTGTAACTTTCATACTCTAGCTACACCGAAAGTGGAAAGAATGTTGCGACCTGAGGTTTTATTAATCTTACAATTCACATGCTCGAAGCTGACTTGTAAGTGTTTGGTACTTAAGAAAGGTCTATTAAATACTGCCATACAAGAACATTGGATTAATAAGCCCAATTTCTAGTAGTTATGATAATCTTCAGTGCATTTCAAAATATAACGCTTTTGTTACTAAATGGTAAGCTCAACTTTTGCTTCAGCTTTCCAAAGTCGTCGTCGAATGGTCAAGAAATAGAGAAAGATCGATGAAGAGTTTGAAACTCCATGGCTTTTGTTTAACTTTTAGCGGTACGTTACTGTATATACAATGTTTTTCACAAATAACTAAAGACTTTCGTCAACATTTGACAGTTGGTGAGGTAGTTAAAACCTTTAAAACGCTTTCTAGATAAGACAAGGATTGGAGATACCCATTCCCTATGAGTTCCGTACACTAGTTTGTGAGGACAAAGGTATAAACTAACTTCAGAAAGGTTACTACTCATAAGGGTAACTATTAGACGTATGAACTGTTTATAAACATAGCTATAATGATAAAGATATTAGCTACGTCAAGTAATTCAACGGCTCTCAGGGGACAAATCAAGCTATACGAAACCTTTTAGTTTTCGTACATTACAGGTATCAGGCGTTATGAACAGACTAGAGTACAAATAAAAGAAAAGTATCAGATCATCATAAGAACTGATCAGTGACTTCCGAGAAGGCGAATAATTAAACAACAAATAGTGAACTCTTCATTTGGGATAAGTGTATCAAAATTGTCACTACATAAACATGTACATATTACAAGCAACCAAAAATTGAATTTATCGATAGATGTTTATTAACAGTATATTCTGTTAACTGAGTACACCTGACTCAATAGAAGAATGTTAACAAAACTCCAGGATACTTTCTGCTTCATGCATTATCGCATCGTCAGACGTGAGGGTGAACTTGTCAGTACACGAAAATATATAGCATTTCACCAGTTATTTAGAATTACAAAGTGATGGAAATGTCGGTTGACCCAGTAGTTGGGTGAAAATAGTCAACAATGATATGACCTTGTCACTAGCAGATTACCGATTTATTTTCCGGTTATGAATATTAACCAAACAAATCCTCTCCAACCAATGAATCTAGTTATCTTTAATAACAAAAGTTGCTATTTGCCAAACATTTAAGAACATAAATTGCTGTTAAAAATCTCGAAAATATAATCTACAGTTGCATACTGATTCCAAAAGAAACAGGTTTACATTCCAGTTAAATATTTATAAATGAATAACCTTTTGTTGATGTACTTGTAATTCTCTGTTGTTTTATTGGATCGAATTGTTCGACCTCTGTTGGTATATGAGCTACTATGCAGATGCCTCGGTATTTCCTGAATATTTATTACGGTAATTTACTTGGTTGTGACTAGTAGAAGAATCCAGGAAGTGTGTTTCGTCCTGTTTCGGAATCGTTAGCTGGATGGATGTACCTGCACCCCAGTGAGTGTTGTTCCCCCTGAAACTCAAGCCTTGTACCCATTACCTCAAATGTTTCAAACGAGTCCAAGATAGGATGAAGCGCGCGTCCTGGATTCTTCTGCTAGCCACAACCAAATTAATTATGAATAAAGCCTAAACGTTTGCTGATACTCATTGATCGAGTCGACGCATACGAACCACAAACAATCGACTGCTTTTCTTTTAGAAATAAAAACAAAGGAATAATATACCATCAAGAAACATATCAAAGAACAGTCATTATCGTAAACCAACAGTCTAGAAAGTAACCACACAACTTGTAAGCTTATATGATCGTGCATACACAACTGGCGAGAAATAAAATGATAGCGTGATGGAAATGTAAGACTATAGAAAACTATTGATGTATTAGGGCTACATATTTTGAACAATCTGATTACAATAAAACTCGGCAAATCATTTAAAGGAATAATTAAAAAAAGGTTAATGAAAACACTATTTTTGTAGTTCTGTCATCATGAAAATATGAGAATATTAATGACAACCAGATGAATTCATTCCCAGTTAACCAAGAAAATTATGTAACTAATTTGTCATCTATTTAGTTATCTGTTTCTGATAAAGAGACAATTTCACCACTAGGATTCAGTTCTTCTGTTCCCTTAACAGGAAATTCCAACCGGCAATCGATATCTAATTCGAAAATTTACATAATAAACTCATCTAACTCATCCCAACATCTAAAACTATCGAAGTTGCCTTATGGCTAAGTTATTTGATATCACTCATTGTTTTCATGATGGTGTTTCAAAAAAGATAAACATCTTATATCCCAAAGCACTGAAAAGACTATGAAATAGTTGAGAGATCATTATTGTTAAAAGATTACACATGTTATTTCGAATGGTCTCTGTTAAAAAAGTAAGCTTTCATTTGTTCTTAGTGATGAAATTAAGTTAATGGTGGATGTTGCCTCTGAAAATACTTTAATTGAATAGGAGTGTATACTCTATCCTGATGGAAATGCCCAATAATAATGTTACTAATAAAGAGAAATATGATTGTCTAAATACCGTGTGATCTGAATATTTCCATCCATCTCGATTACTAAGAAAATATAAAGCTAACATTCTACTCTTGAATTTTATCGAAATTCACTTAATTAATTTCCCGTCGAAAGATGCATTTGACTTCATTGACTAGCTAAGTGATATTGACATAAATAATAAGACTGTGTACTCTCCATTTACTGATGTATCACAAATAAAGACGACTGGTATTCCTTGAGAGGTTTTATTCTCTGTTTGTCTTACTTTTTTAACACATTTATCATCAATATGCAGTGACGAAGTAGACTGCACATTCCAGAGTAAGTTTAGCAAACTCATAATATTACAATAACCAATCCTTTCGGTATACTTGTTGGCTGATGAATATTTTAATGTGCCAAGAATCTAGACAATGATCATATTGGAAACGCTTCACTTTGTAAGAGATATATCGATGATGTAGTCTTCGAATGCTAAAATCATAGTGATGTCAAGCATCTAGTCCAGATGAAGTGTTTCAGAACTTTTTGTTTGCCCTTAATAACCTTTCTTCTTTTATTGTTTCCAACATGTTCATGGACAATCAGATTGACCCAAATGTATAGCACTAATATATAACATGTTTCAGAAATTTTCCCGCTTCTCATCCAGCTGTCTGCATGTATCCAACCAAGGAGATTAACCGCTTAAATAAAATGATAATTATCGAAAGCTATATCCATTAGCGGAGAGCCAACATAACAACAGTTACGTTATGATACACGTGTGTAGTATCGTAAAAGACATAATGCTGTTGCAGTT